TGACTCTGCTACTGGAGTTGTTTCTACTGGAGGTTCTGGAGCTGCTGAGGGTGCTGGCGCTGGTGGCACTGGAGCTGGAGGTTCTGGAGCTGCTGAGGGTGCTGGCGCTGGAGGTTCTGGTGCTGCTGCGGGTGCTGGCGCTGAGGGTTCTGAGTCTGCTGTTGCGCGGTCTCCTTGAGTAGCCGCCTTCGTCCGCGTGTGCCTCTCACCTCACAGCAGCGGCACGACTGGTACGGTCGACGTCAGGGTCGCGCTTCTGGAGCTCGGGGCTCTGCCGCTGGAGGTACTTCTGCTGACGTCACTGGAGCTGGGAGTGGTGCTGGTCCCGGAGGTGCTCGTACTGGAGGTACTGGAGCTGCTGGGGCTGGAGGTGCTGAGCCTGAGGGTGCTACTGCTGGAGACCCTGGGTCTGGGGGTGCTGCTGCTGGAGACACTGAGGCTGGAGACCCTGGGACTGGAGGTGCCGGTTCTGGGGGTGCTGCTGCTGGTGGAGCTGGTCCTGGAGGAGCTGGCGCTGAGGGTTCTGGAGCTGCTGGAGGTGCTGGAGCTGCTGGGGGTACTGGAGCTGCTGGTGCTGGTGGCACTGCACAGCCGCGCCTGTTCTTTGCCCCACCGTCTTTGTCGTCTCCGCACGTCAGCCGGCTGTCCCCGGCACCCACCTCGTAGTCCGTCGTCCTTCCTCTCCTCCGCAGCGTGTTCCCCTGCCGTCCCCTCCTGCGTCTTCTCTACCTACCGTTCCTAAGCCTGAGTCTGACCGCACCCGTGCTGCTCACCCTACTGTCACGCGTCTGCTAGCCACAGTTGTCACTGACCCGTCGTTTGGGTCTGCTGCTGCGTCTGCCATAGTCGCTGAGCTTGTTGACTTTGCTGCTGCCTGTCGTCTAGACTATGCCGCTAGTCTTGTTGCTGAGTCTAAGTCTGTCTGTCCTCCGTCCGTCGGGGGTGAGTGTGCTCTTGGCACGGACGTCCTTGAGGACAGGCACGAGGACCTTGAGTGTCTTGCAGCCGCTGCGCCTCATCTCGTGTCCATGCTGCTTGCCCCTGAGGGAGACCCGGATGATCCAGGCATCCCGACCCCGCGTTCTTACGCTGAGGCGATCGCGGGTGAGTACTCCTCTCAGTGACAGACAGCCATGGACGCAAAGATGGCATCCTAGAAGTCCACAGGCACATACGTCGACGAGGTTCCCCCTCCTAGGGCGAACATCGTCAGTGGCATGTGGATTTTCAGGGTGAAGCGGCCGCCAGGTTCTCCGCCTGTCTTCAAGGCTCGTTACGTTGCTCGAGGTTTTAGTCAGCGAGAGGGAGTTGACTTCTTCCATACCTTCTCCCCCACCCCGAAGATGACCACTCTTCGGGTACTGCTGCACGTTGCCGCTCAGCGTGACTACGAGCTTCACTCTATTGACTTCAGCACAGCTTTCTTACAGGGCAGCCTGCACGAGGAGATCTGGCTGCGCCGCCCTCCTGGCTTCACTGGGTCGTTCCCTCCTGGTACCCAGTGGAGTCTCCGGCGGCCGGTCTACGGTCTCTGCCAGGCGCCACGTGAGTGGCACGACACACTGAGGACGACACTTGCGGCTCTTGGTTTTTCTCCGTCGACTGCTGACCCGTCGCTGTTTCTGCGCACCGACACTTCGCTGCCGCCGTTCTACATCCTCGTGTACGTCGACAACTTGGTCTTTGCCACTGCTGACACTGAGGCTCTCGCCCTGGTGAAGTCGGAGCTGCAGAAGAGACACATGTGCACAGACTTGGGTGAGCTGCGCAGTTACCTTGGCTTGCAAATCACCCGGGACAGAGCACGCGGCACCATCACACTGACTCAGTCACACATGGTGCAGCAGGTCCTTCAGCGCTTCGGCTTCACCTGGTCCTCGGCACAGGCCACTCCTCTGGCTACAGGTTACTCGCTCTCAGCTCCACCTTCGGACGAGTCCGTAGAGCCGAGTGGTCCTTACCCAGAGCTAGTGGGCTGCCTCATGTACCTGATGACATGCACTCGTCCTGACCTTGCGTACCCTCTTGGCCTTCTGGCTCGCTACGTGGCTCCTGGTCGGCACCGAAAGGTGCACATGGATGCTGCTAAGAGGGTACTACGCTACTTGTGCAGTACATCGGGCATGGGGCTCGTGCTTGGAGGACGGAGCGACGTTGTCCTCACCGGGCACTCAGACGCTTCTTGGGTTGACGACCAGACTACGCAGCGGTCGTCACAGGGTTACACCTTCAGCCTTGGCTCTGGTTCAGTTTCTTGACGTTCTACACACTCGTTTTCAGTTCTCAGCTCCAGTTGTGAGGCTGAGATCTACGCCACAGCCATGGCTGCACAGGAGTTACGCTGGCTCACCTACCTGCTGACCGACTTAGGAGAGCGGCCTCGCTCTCCTCCGGTGCTGTACGTCGACAACAAGGCCGCCATTGCTTTGTGTCAGGAGCACAGACTGGAGCACAGAACGAAGCACATCGCTCTGCGTTACTTCTTGGCTCGAGAGTTGCAGCAGCGTGGTCAGCTTCGTCTTGCTCACGTGGCCACTCGGGCCAACACTGCTGATATATTCACCAAGGCACTTCCGTCTGGTGATCATCAGCGTTTTTGTACTTTGTTAGGCCTTGTGCCCACGTTTCCTCACTTGCTGTAGACTTTGCTTGTACCGTGATCTATATATATACCTGCATGCTTGCTCTGCTAGGTAGAGATCACTGTGCTGTTGTTGTTGCATATATACCTCTGCATGTGAACTAGCCCTGTGGCCCTTTGCTCGTGCTCAGTGTGTGTGGTGACGTTGTGATCCACCCTGAGCTTGCTTTACTTCTCTTGACTGGTCTTGTGACCCCTTGTTCTCCCCCACTTTTCCTATGGGGGTGTGTCAAAGTATATGCATACTATATATGTGTAGGCTATAGTGGGGTAGCCAATATGGGGTATAGCCCCGTTTAGGGTTTCATACTTGTACCCTACTCTTCCATAGTGCATTCATTCCTGCTGCTAGATTCTAACAGTCACACATGGTGCAGCAGGTCCTTCAGCGCTTCGACTTCCAGTACTCCTCTGCCTACCGGTCACTCGCTCTCAGCTCTGCCTTCGGATGGGTCCGTAGAGCCGAGTGGCCCGTATCCAGAGCTTGTGGGCTACCTCATGTACCTGATGACCTGCACTCGACCTGGCCTTGCTTACCCTCTTAGCATCCTGGCACGCTACGTTGCGCCCGGGAGACACCGACCAGAGCACTGGAAGACCGCTAAGAGGGTGATGCGCTACTTGTGCAGTACGTCGGGCATGGGGCTCGTGCTTGGAGGACGGGTTTGAGTTGTCCTCACTGGTCACACAGACGCTTCTTGGGTTGACGACTTGGCTATGCAGCGGTCGTCACAGGGTTACACCTTCAGCCTTGGCTCCGGCTCTGTTTCGTGGCGGTCTACACGCTCGTCTTCTGTTCTCAGCTCCAGTTGTGAGGCTGAGATCTACGCAGGGGCCATGGCTGCACAGGAGTTACGCTGGCTCACCTACCTGCTGACCGACTTGGGCGAGCCGCCTCGTTCTCCTCCAGTTCTGTACGTCGACAACAAGGCCATGATTGCCTTGTGTCAGGAGCACAGACTGGAGCACAGGACGAAGCACATCGCTCTGCGCTACTTCCTTGCTTGAGAGTTGCAGCAGCGTGGACAGCTTCGTCTTGCTTATGTGGCCTCTCGGGCCAACACTGCTGATATATTCACCAAGGCACTTCAGCCTTGTGATCATCAGCGTTTCTGTACTGTTCTAGGCCTTGTGCCTACTTTGCCTCACTTGCTCACTTCTTGACTTTGCCTGTACTGTGATCTATATACTTATATCTGCATGCTTACACTTGCTATGTTGTGATCACTGTACTGCTTGTTCTCGTTTATATATAACTCTGCATGTGAACTGACATTGTGGCCATTTGCTTGTGCTTAGAATGCATGGTGATTTCGTGATCCACCCTGAGCTTGCTTTGCTTTTCTTGACCGGTCTTGTGACCTCTTGTTCTCCCCCACTTTGCCTATGGGGGTGTGTCAAACTCATATGCTGCGTATTGTGTAGGCTATAATGGGGTAGCCCATATGGGGTACAACCCAATTAGGGTTTCCTACTTGTACCCATCTTGCTGTTAGTTCATCCATTTCCTGCCCGTTAGATTCTGACAAGGTTACGCGTGAGCGCTGGCAGGTGCGTCGCTCTTGGACAGGTTTTGTGCGGTGGGAATTCGAATCGCGGCAAGTTTCGCCGTGATTCCATGCACGATCCCATGCGCACGTCACATCATTGTATTCGCCTTATTGAGAGCTTCAATTTGGTACATTTGAATTTGAAATTCAATTTTGCCTGTATGAAAGCGCCGGCGCTTATGGCCGTTACTCAATTACAAGCGCCACCCCTTAAAAAATGTTTTTATTATAAGCGCATATTCGCTACTATCCAGGGCCATACGGTACATGTTTTTGGAAATTATATCATATTGTATTACCACGGATATGTACACTCAAACTTCATATATCCACAAAACGCCAGACGTAAACGCACATTGCTGTCACTGGTATGCAAATCACAACCTGACACCTGATCAAGCAAAACCAGTGAAGAATCTGGAGTTCAAATGGGAAGTAGCGTTTGTCAGCATCCCTGAAGGCAATCTCACCTGTGGAAGAGTTTCACCTGGGGTCAGCAGAATCTAGTGATGGTCAATCTGTCAAGCACCTGGGAAGGTGAGTTTGATGAAGTCCTGGAAGCGCGCGGCGTATAGTATGGGGTCGACAGCAGAGAGATGTGTAGACATGTAGACGAGTCGATGACACTTTCTCATCCGTCTCAACAGATGCACAGACTGTCAAGTCAGGCAGTGGGGAAGGTGAGCTTGATGAAGTCTTGGAAGCGTGCGGCGTAGAGCGTGGGGTCGACTCGACAGCAGAGATGGAGTGGCTGTCATACTGAATGGACTTTATCTGAGACGTCTCAAGAAAGGCTCGAGCAGTGGTTGTCAAGCAGTGGGGAAGGTGAGCTTGATGAAGTCTTGAAAGCGCGAGGCGTAGAGCGTGGGATCGACGGCAGAGATGGAGTGGCTGTCGTACTGAATGGACTTGTAGAAATGCTCCACCTTCTTCGTGTAGTCGTACTCCTGCGGTGCAGTGCGGTACGGGGTGGTTGGGGGGTTGAGTGGTTGTTGGAAAAACAGGGGATGGAGTGGCAATAAGAGGGGAGATGGAGTGGCTGTCGTACTGAATGGACTTGTAGAAATGCTCCACCTTCGTGTAGTCGTACTCCTGCGGTGCAGTGCGGTGGAGGCATTGGGGGTTTGGGTGGTCGAGGGTGTGGAAGCTCAAGTGTTTTTTGAGAAACCTAAAACCAGCTAAGTTGATGGTACCATCAACATAGCCAGACTTGTAGAGATGATCCACCTTCGTGTAGTCGTACTCCTGCGGTGCAGTGCAGTACAGGGTGGTTGAGGGAGTGGTACTTTTAGCATTCTAAAACAATCTCTTGCAAGGACTAGTACGAATGCTCAAGCTTCTTCATGTAGTAGTCGCACTCCTGTGGTGCCGAGGTTGGAGGAAATAGGGGTTTGGGTTGTTGAGGGTGTGGAAGCTTAAGTGTTTTTTGAGAGATTTACAACCACCTCGTACGCCTCTGCCCGTGTAAGGTCTCTGCCCGTGTAAGGTCTCTGCCGGCACCATCTCTCTCTCCAATCAGACAAACAAGTGCTCCAAGCTCCAACCATCCAACCCCACACAATCACACGCACCTGCAGGATATCAATGATACCTACGTACAGCACCACCTCATACGCCTCTGCCCCGGTGGGGTCTCTGATCGGCCTCAGTTTGCCCCACACACCCACGCACACACACCCATATGCATTCACACACGCGCACACCCACCTGCAGGATATCAATGATGCCGAAGCACAGCACCACCTCATACACGCCCCTGCTCGGGTGGGGTCTCTGATTACCAGATGGATTCACCTCCAGGCTCCTACCATACACCCACACCCGGCAACCACGCACCCCTACGTGTGTAGTGAGGTTATTTTTCAGACGTCTCAAAAACAACCTCACTACACGTCACCTCCAGGCTCCTACCATACACCCACACCCGGCAACCACGCACCCCTACGCACCCACACACACCCATGCACACACCCACCTGCAGGATATCAATGATTCCAAAGTACAGCACCACTTCGTACGCCTCCGCTCTGGTGGGGTCTCTGATGAGCCGCCTGCTCCTCCTGTCCAGCCGCACTGCCGTCGCTGCCATGCCCTGCCCTAGCACCGCCCCCTAGCACCCACACATGCACATGCACACACCCACCTGCAGGATGTCAATGATTCCAAAGTACAGCACCACTTCGTACGCCTCCGCTCTGGTAGGGTCTCTGATGGGCCGCCTGCTCCTCCTGTCCAGCCGCACTGCCGTTGCCGCCATGCCCTGCCCTAGCACCGCCCCTGCCCCCCTCCCCTGCTGCCCATGCTGTCCTTGCCTCTGCGCATATGCATGTGCATACACCTGAGCTGGTGCTGACAGAGGCTCAGAGGGCCGTCTGGGTTGCTGCAGCTGCCCCTGCTGCCCTTCCTGCTGCTGCTGCTGCTGCCCTCCCGGGCCCTGAATCTGCTCCCCCTGCCCCCCTTCGTCCTGCTGCGGCTGCACCTGCACCTTCCCCAGCACAGGGTGCAGCCACGGACTAGCAGGCACAGACAGGCCCCCCCCTCGCTTCACGTGGCTCTGCCTTTTGGGTGTGGGGGAGCGTAACGCCCCCACTAGTGCAGACAGGCCGAATCTGGGGGAGGGAGGCTTGGTAGCAGTGGCAGAGGCATTGGCATTGGCACTGGCATTGGCACTGGCAGAGGCAGTGGCAGAGGCATTAGCACTGGCAGCAAGAGAGGCAGATCCTGCCGGGGGTCTTGGGCTGCTGCTGACGCTGCTGCTGCCTGGTGGCGCTCTGTTGCCGGCACCTGAAGAATCACCTGGGGCGGCGGCGGCGTTTCCAGGAGCGGCAGGCGGTGCTGGGAGGGGGTTGGAGGCGGGAGTGCCTGGGGAAAAACCTGAGAAGGTTGCTTCAGGTGCCGTGGCGGAAGGGGGGATGGTGAGAGGCGGTGGGTCTGGGTGCGTGTGGCTTAATCTGGCAAAGACTGAATAGCAGGTCATCTCTCCACTATGGGGTATGCTAGACCCCCCTCCCCCTGCCCCTCCCCCTTCCCCATCACCTCCCCCTCCCCCTTCCCCTGTCCCTCCCATTCCCCCTCCCACCCCCCCACCAGCACCAGTGCTGTCTAGCTGGTTGGTGTGAGAGGCAGCAGGGTAATGGGGCTGGGGCGTTTGAGGCGCCTCAGAGGCTTGGGGCTGCAAGAAAGGGCTGGCTTGCGTGCCAGGACGAAAGGAGGAGAGCAGCTGAGCGACGTTGTCCGATGAGTGGCGGACCAGCGGTGGTCCATCGCTCGTGACTGACCTTCTTGCTCGTGTGGACTGGGTGGTGGCAGAGCCTTGTGTGTGCTGTGCGTGGTGGTGCTGCTGCTGCTGCTGCTGCTGCTGCTGCCAGGGGCGGAAGAGGCGGCGCCAGGTTTGAGACGAGGGCGAGAATCGCCCGATCCATGCCGATTGCTGACTGCCTGTTGCTGCCGGTGATGGCGGTGGTGCTGCTGCTGCTGCCGCTGCTGATGGTGACGGTGGTGGTGCTGCTGCTGCTGCTGCTGATGTTGCTGCAGCTGGTGATGGTGGTGGCGGTGGTTGCTTTGAGGGTGGGTACAACTCGGGGGGAGGAAGTGGACGAGGGGGAGAGAGAGGGAGAAGAGGACTCGTACCCCCATGAAGAGGAGGAGTCAGCACACCCCCTCTCACCGCATCCCCCCCCATCGCGCACCCATCGCTCACCCTCTCCCCTCCCACTGCCTCTGCCTGCTGCCCTAACGAACACCCTTCTCTTCTGCACTCCGCCTCACCCCCTCCTCCCCCTGTGCCCACTCTCGCTTCCTGGCATGCGAGCCTCGCCTGCAGGTTCGGCGGCCCAGGCTCGGAAGGCCCGAGCAGAGCCAGGTTCTCGTGCGAGGTTGGGGCAGAATGAGGCTTTCTAACCCGATTACCGAACCTCTTCCCTCTGCTCACCTTCCCTACCGGACCTCCAGCTGCCCCAAGCCCTTTCTTCCTCCCACTCACTGAACCCGCCCCTGAATCTGCCCCTACTGTCTTTGCTGCTTTCAAATCAACACCCCCAGCTGCTCCCCCTTCCCCTCCCGCTTCCCCTACCCCTCTCACTCCACCACCCCCTTTTCCTCCTCCCCCTCCTTTGCTTCCTGTCCCCCCTCCCTTCGCCTCACTAGCCCAAGGCGGCAATGGCTGAGGCTCAGACCCAGGAGTATACACGCCCTCTTCCCCCTCCTCCACACTCACTCCCCCCACCCCCACACTCACTCCTCCCACTCCCCCAAATGCTCCCTCTCCCCCACCCCCTCCCCCGACCACCCCACCTCCGAACTGCATAAGCAACCCGTTTGCCCCTCCCATTGGGGGTTCACGCGCGGAAAACAGGAGCGCGGAGGAGGAGGAGGACTTGGGGAAGGGGAAGGGGAGAGCAGAGGCGGAGGAGGAGGAGGTGGGGGGAAGGAAGGCCTCAGGACCTGTGACCTTGCCTTCAGCGATGGTGACTATAGGGGGGGGCGGGTCCGTGGCTCGGAAATGCACGCCTAATAGGAGACTGTAATCCATGATGCGTTGGGACTGGAGGAAATGACAATCCGCTGCCATTTGCCTGGATTTAAGGGGGTGCAAGAACGAAAGAAGGTAAGAAAGAGTGATAGGATGTTGTGCAGGCATCCACCAAAATGCGCCCCAGCAGCAGTGTACATTCAGATCTGCCAGATTTGGCACCGAAATGAGCTAAAATGCGCCAAAATGCGCCAAAATGAGCCAAAATGCGCCAAAATGCGCCAGAATGCGCCAAAATGCGCCAAAATGAGCCAAAATGCGCCAAAATGCGCCAAAATGCGCCAAAATGCGCCAAAATGCGCCAAAATGCGCGCCAGCAGGAAGCTGAAGTGCATGATGCGCTGACAGACACTGCACGGAACGGAACGGCAATCCGCTGATTTACACACTTCAGCAACGCGGGTCTCTCTGTTCCCCATGCAGCCGGAATGCAGGTCTTTCAATGTCATGGTCTCATCGATCGCCACCTTGACCATGCTGCGCCCCTGTAGGAGGCACACCCCTTCCATGCCCACACGCACCTTAGCAAGAGGTCTCTCCATCCCCCGTGCAACCGGAACGCCAGGTCCAGGTCCAAGTCTTTAAGCGTCCTGGTCTCATCGATCGCCACCTTGTCCATGCTGCGCCCCTGTGATGAGCCCTTGAGGTAAAAAAGGCACACCCCTTCCATGCCCACACGCACCTTAGCAGAAGGTATCTCCACCCTCCGTGCAGCCGGAACGCAAGGTCCAGGTCCAAGTCTTTGAGCGTCATGGTCTTATCAATCGCCACCTTGTCCATGCTGCGCCCCTGCGATGAGCCCTTGAGGTCAACGCAACACGCACCTCTCATGCCCACCCACACGGCACACGCACCTCTCATGCCCACCCACACGGCACACGCACCTCTCATGCCCACCCACACGGCACACGCACCTCTCATGCTCACCCACACGGCACACGCACCTCTCATGCCCACCCACACGGCACACGCACCTGAGCAGCAGGTCTCTCCATCCCCCGTGCAGCCTAAAGGCGAGGTCCAGATCGAGATCTTTGAGCGTCATGGTCTCATCGATCGCCACCTTGTCCATGCTGCGCCCCTGCGATGAGCTGTCGTGAGGCTATAGGCGCCGCCTGATGCAACCACTGCTTGAGAGAACCTAGTGGAAAATACACCCACCTTAGCAGCAGGTCTCTCCAACCCCCGTGCAGCCGGAATGCGAGGTCCAAGTCAAGATCTTTGAGGGTCATGGTCTCATCGATCGCCACCTTGTCCATGCTGCGCCCCTGTGAGGAGCCCTTGAGGTCAACGCAACACGCACCTCATGCTCACCCACACGGCACACGCACCTCTCATGCTCACCCACACGGCACACGCACCTCTCATGCCCACCCACACGGCACACGCACCTGAGCAGCAGGTCTCTCCATCCCCCGTGCAGCCTAAAGGCGAGGTCCAGATCGAGATCTTTGAGCGTCATGGTCTCATCGATCGCCACCTTGTCCATGCTGCGCCCCTGCGATGAGCCCTTGAGGTCGAAGCGGCGGTGCAGCCGCACGTCTGAGTTGAAGAGGTTTCCCATCACCACGAATCGGATCATGGTGCTGCCCTGCAGGGGCAGAACGGTTATAGCGATGGAAAAGAACAGGAGGAAAGAGGGGGTGGGTGGGGCAAGGAGCGGCGGTGCAGCCGCACGTCGGAGTTGAGAGATTTCCCATCACCATGAAGCGAATGACAGTGCTGCCCTGCAGGGGGGGGAGAATGATGAAGAAGGGAGGCGGGACTTTTGAGAATTCTCAAAAGTCACTCCAATATAGGAGGCGGGATGCAAGTGGCGGGTACGAGGAAAAAAGGAGGGGGGAGGGATAGGAGCGCGACGGTGCAGCCGCACGTCTGAGTTGAAGAGATTTCCCATCGCCACGAATCGAATCATGGTGCTGCCCTGCAGGGGTCGCGAACGGGGGAGGGGTGAAAGGAGGAAGGGATCAATGAGAGAGGCGTGGGAGGGGAAAAGTGGTGCAGAAGCACATGGGAGTTGAAAAGGTTTCCCATCACCACGAATCGGATCATGGTGCTGCCCTGCAGAGATGACAATAGTTAAAGGGATGGAAGAAGAATGAGGGGGAGTATGTGAGGCAAGGAGTGGCGGTGCAGCCGCACGTCTGAGTTGAAGAGGTTTCCCATCACCACGAATCGAATCATGGTGCTGCCCTGCAGGGGTGGAAGTGCCGGGGATAGAAAGGAAAGAAAATGAGGGAGTCAGTAAGGGTGGAGCAGTGCAGACGAACGTCAGAGTTGAAGAGGCTTTCCATCCCACTTGGGAAGGTGCAAACGATACTCTTCAACCACACTACAGACACGGACGCAGAGACTTTTGAGTCGACTCAAGAGGCTTTCCATCCAGATACACTTCAACCACACTACAGACACACACGCATACATGCTGTGCCACAGCCACCAGCACAGGACAGGTGAAGTGAAGGACTCACAGTGGAGGGCTTGTAGATCTTGCAGCTGTGCAGGCCGAAGAACCGGGTGAGGAGAGTGAGATGCCAAAGAGGTGAGGTGCACACAGGCACGCATACATGTACGTATGTGGTCATACAACTATGGCACAGGTGAAGGACTCACGGTGGATGGCTTGTAAATCTTGCAGCTGTGCAGGCCGAAGAACCGGGTGAGGAGAGTGTGCTCGTACTGCTTCACGTGCTCGTGGTATGCTGGCAGCATTCTCAGGAGCACCTGGGCGGGAAGGGCAAGACCGAGGGAGGCAGGGGCGCGGATTGTGGCGGCATGACAAGGAGAGGAGGTGAGAAGGGTGTGCTCGTACTGCTTCACGTGCTCGTGGTATGCGGGGAGCATTCTCAGGAGCACCTGGGAGGAAGGGCAAGTGGGATCGCATGACAAAGAATTACTTGTGAAAGAATTTTCAAAAGTCTCCAACGAGACTTCCGTGACTAAATGTGATTCGTGGGGAGCTCCATTCTCAGGAGCACCTGAGAGGAAGAGCAAGAGGGAGGGAACTTTGTGACGGCATGATGGAACGAGAAGCTGTAGTGGTCATTCTGACAATTGTGTTCACGTCGCCCTGCACCGCTCAGCACCGCAATACCCGCTACAGAATGTACCCAGATTGTACTCACATGCACTTCTGCTCGGCGCATGGTTTTGATAATGAAGCGGTCGTGGTGGGAGAGATAGAAGACGCTGCCCGACTTGCAAATAGGCAGCTTAACACCCTCTATCTCTTGTGCTCACACCGTTTTTACACCGCTCTACACCGCTTAGCACCTAACACTCACATGCACTTCTGCTCGGCGCATGGTTTTGATAATGAAGCGATCGTCGTGGGAGAGATAGAAGACGCTGCCAGACTTGCCCGGGGAGGACAGCTCCCTCAGTGCCGTGTCGCCGCACAGCGATAGCATGTAGTCTGACGGGTCCACTCCGAACAGCGCCCGCAGCTCCCTGCGGTGTGGGGTGTTACGAGAAGGGTTTTGGGCGAAGGACAAGGGAACAACTCCCTCAGCGCGGTGTCACCGCACAGCGATAGCATGTAGTCTGAAGGGTCCACTCCGAATAGCGCCCGCAGCTCCCTGCAGTGTGGGGTGTTACGAGAAGGGTTTTGGGCGAAGGACAAGGGAACAACTCCCTCAGCACGGTGTCACCGCACAGCGATAGCATGTAGTCTGAAGGGTCCACTCCGAATAGCGCCCGCAACTCCCTGTTGGATGGTGTGGGGTAGTACGGGGAGTTGAGGAGAAGGGCAGGAGGACAGCTTTCTCAGCACGGTGTCACCGCACAGCGACAGCATGTAGTCTGAAGGGTCCACTCCAAAGAGCGCTCGCAGTTCTCTGGAGGATGTTTAGAGAAGGAGGAGAAGGGAAGGCGCTGGGAGAGATAGAAGACGCTGCCCGACTTGCCCGGGGAGGACAGCTCTCTCAGCGCTTTATCCCCGCATAAGGACAGCATGTAGTCCGAGGGGTCCACCCCAAACAGCGCTCGCAGCTCCCTGTTGTGTGGGGATGTTCAAGAAACAGGAAAGAGCTCTTTGGGATCGAGGAGAAGGACAGGGGAACAGCTCTCTCAGCGCTGTATCCCCGCATAAGGACAGCATGTAGTCCGAGGGGTCCACTCCAAAGAGCGCTCGCAGCTCCCTGTGGGAGGATCAAGGAAAGGGTGCAGAGGAAAGGGAAGGGTGTCAGCACGTGAAGGTGCAACATGGTGGGGGGGCGTGATCTGAAAGCCCTCTGATGGGAAGCGCTAGACAGAAAAAAAACGCCAGATGCACCTGAAATATTGAATTGAAAAAGGTGTCACCACTTGAATTGAAAGGTGCGACATGGTGGGGGGGGGTGATCTGAAAGCCCTCTAATGGGAAGCGCTAGACAGAAACAAAACGCCTGATGCACCTGAAAAAAGAAAAAAGAAAGACTGACGCACACCTGAAGACCGCGGGACAGAAGTCTCGCCACTTGAAAGGCGCCACTTGATGCGGGGGCGTGATCTGAGAGCCCTCCGGGGGGAAGCGCACAACGAAGAGAGCATGTGACAAAGCATCTGACTCACCTGAAGACGGCAGGGCAGAAATCGCGCCACTTGAAAGGAGCCACTTGGTGCGGGGGAGTGATCTGAGAGCCCTCCGGGGGGAAGCGCACAGCCCTTGGCCCCGCATGCTGCGAGAAATCGCTCTCTCTCAACTCCCTCACTGAGTCCAAGCCCATGCGCCCTATGGAGTAGCTGGGGTGAGGGGAAGGGGTGGAAGGGAGGAGGTTGAAAGAGAGATCGCTCTCCCTCAACTCCCTCGCTGAATCCAGCCCAATGCGACCAATGGACTAGCTGGGGTGAGGGGAAGGGTGGAGGGGGGGTTGCGAGGGGGAAAATGGGGAGAGAGGCAGGTAAAGAGGAGAGCAAGGAGTATGACTGTGTGCTGGTAAAATCGCTGCTTACTGCGACGGCATTCTTTTAGTGTACTGCTGTGGGCATGAGAGAAGGGTGGGGGATAAAGAGGAGCAAGCCAGTCCCATCTCACCGCAAGCCAAGCTGCAGGGTGACCATGAGGTCGTAGGAGAGATGGCCCTTGTATATCAACTCGCCTGCCTTCAGTGATTGACACTCCACACAGCGACTCAACACTCCATGCAGCACAGAATGATAAACAAGCCTCACTGCATGGCAAGACAGTCTCACCGCAGGCCGAGCTGCAGGGTGACCATGAGGTCGTAGGACAGATGGCCCTTGTATATCAACTCCTTGCCTTCCCTGTTTCACACTCCAGCAAGTCAGTAAGTCTCATTTCAGAATGAGGGCCATCTCTCATCTCATACGACCTGATGGTCACCCTTGCAGTCAGCAAGTCAGTAAGTCTCATTTCAAGCCACTCTTACCGCAAGCCGAGTTGCAGGGTGACCATGAGGTCGTATGACAGATGGCCTTTGTATATCAACTCGCCCGCCTTCTTGCCCTCCCGCCTCGGCCCCTTGTTCCGCTGGGGATGGGAGGACAAACGGGGGGGAAGAATGCATTCTCGAGAAACGGAGGTGAGGTGGAGGTGGTTGAGAAGGAGGAAGAGTGGGGATGTGAGGAGTAACGAGAAAAGTGAGGAAGGTAAGAGAAAAACAACTCGCCTGCCTTGCTTCTCTCCCATGCTCTCCCTGCTTTCCTTACTCACACAATCAACTCACTGGTAGCACTAACGGAACACTCACAGGCAGCACGGTCTTGTCGCTCTTAGCCGTCTCAGACACGAGCACGCCTTGCACATACTCCCTCACCAACACAGCACTGTGCCACCCCTCCTAGTGCTTGGCTTGCACTCCAAGTGAGTCACACAGGCAGCACTGACACAGACGCTACTCACGGGCAGCACTGACACAGACGCTACTCACGGGCAGCACTGACACAGACGCTACTCACGGGCAGCACTGACACAGACGCTACTCACGGGCAGCACGGTCTTGTCGCTCTTGGCCGTCTCAGAAACGAGCACGCCTTGCACATACTCCCTCACCAACACCGTGACCCCCTTCCATGCGCTCAGGTAGTCACAGGCAGAGTAGTCAAGAAACTCACAGGCAGCACGGTCTTGTCGCTCTTGGCCGTCTCGGACACGAGCACCCCTTGCACATACTCCCTCACCAACACCGTTCCCCTCCTTGTGTGCGGCTTCGGCCTGCTGCCCCCCTGCCCCGCCCCTGTGGGCCCTCCCACTGCCTGGCTCGTGCTGAACATGGGAGAGGTGATGAGCGACGCTGATGCTGACCCTTCCCCACCTGCACGCATGGGAGAGAGGTGGGAAGGAGCGGACAGGAAGCACGGTCATACTCCCTCACCAACACCGTTCCCCTCCTCGTGCTTGGTTTCGGCCTGCTGCCCCCTGGTCCTGCCCCTGTGGGCCCTCCCACTGCCTGGCTCGTGCTGAACATGGGAGAGGTGATGAGCGACGCTGATGCTGACCCCTCGCCACCTGCACGCATGGAGAAGAGGTGGGGACGCGAGGAAATGGGAGGGAGAGGAGGTGGGGGTAGAAAATACTGGAAACCGAGGTCAGGGTAAGAGGTGGGGAGAAGAGCTGGGGAGACGAGGTGAGGAAACGAGGTGAAGGGAGAGGTGAGGGATAGCATATGCATCCCCTCACCTCGCACACCCAATCACCTCCTTTAAACCCACTACTACACACACACCCACCCAGCCCCACCACACACCCCCTTACCTTGCACTCAACCCCTCACCTCGCACTCAACCCCTCACCTCGCACTCAACCCCTCACCTCGCACTCAACCCCTCACCTCGCACGCCAGCAGTGTCAGAAGCGACTCGGATGCACAGCGGGCCAGATCGAGACACCTCTTCACTCGCCACCCCTCCCCCTGGCTCAACATACCCCACCACTCTCCGCCCCGGCTCAGAAGATGCCACGCCTCCCCGCCCGGACTCATGAGATGCCAAACCTCCCCGCCCGGGCTCGTGAGATGGCACCACGCCCACCCGCCCCGGCTCGTGGTAAGCCACGCTGCGGCCCGGCACAGGTCCCATGGTCACCAGCCTCGCCATCTTGTGCTGCTTCGCTGTACCCCCTGCACTCCCTCCCACGCGCCCTCCCACACTCCCTCCCACGCTCCCTCCTACGCCCCCTGCTGCAGTCATCCCCGCGCCCGCGCCCGCTGCTGCGCTTCCCTTCTCTCCCGCTCTACTCACCCCTTCGGCTGCTTGCATTCCCCCCTCTTCTGTTCCAATCCCCCCTGTGCCTGCTCCCGTCACACCATCACCCCGCCCCCCTTCCTTCACTCTACTTGCCCCTTGCTGACTCTCCCTACTTGACTCATGCTGCCTCTTCGCTCCTGCACCTCCTGTTGCTACTGCCACTGCAGCGGCTGCCGTTGTAAACACCGCGGCTGCGCCTGCTGCTACGGCTGTTGCTGCTGCTCCTGCTGCCACTCCCATGCCAGACGGGGTAGGCTGCCAGGGCTCCCTAGGACTCCTCTCCCTCCTTGCTGCCTCGTCCAAATCCCGAACGTGGCCTGGAGACACTAGGCTCGAAGAACCTGGGTTCGGCACCTGCAGGCTCGGCGGTCGCACTGCATGCCGAGCCTGCGGGGCAAGGCCAGGCACGGAGCTAGAAGTCCCTGATACCTCCTGGGGTACCGTTGCTACTGCTTCTGTTGCTGCTGCTGCTGCTGGCAAGCCTGCTTGTGGTGTTTTTGCCGCTACTGCAGCTGTAGTAACCGCTTCCATCCCTGCTTCTCCTCCCTCCGCTGTTCCAGCTTCTGCTGCTGCTGCTGTTGAATCTCCCGAGCCTTTGATTGCCACTCCTACACGCCCTCTAGCTCCTTTGCCTTTCCCTTCCTCTTCACCTCCCTCCTCCCCTTCCTCTTGCTCCCCCCTATCACCCACAACTCCCCTGACCAACTCTCGGCCCTCCTCTCCCTCATTGTCACGCTCAACAGAAGAATCATCTGATTCCTCCTCCTCCTCATCCTCCTCCCCCTCCCCTTCTGTTTCAGACCCATATGCTTCCTCCTCCGCTTCATCCTCTCCCTCCCCCTCCCCCCCTTCCTCCTCCCCATTCCCCTCTGCATCACCCCCACCACCCACACTCTCACTCTCCTCCTCGATAACACCATCCCAATCCCCTGCTCCATTACTTGCTGTACGAGTTGTCTTTGAATCCTCATAAATCCGTCCGTGACTAATCCAACCCAATCCGCCCCTCCCTCGCCTCCCTCTCGTCCCCCAACCACCCCCACCTTCCCCTCCATCCTCCTCCCCTCCCAACACACTCTCCACCCACTCGCTCGCCACCCGAACCTCCGACCGAGCCTCCGCCCGACCCTCCATCCGAGCCTCCGACCGAGCCTCCCGCCCGGTCCGGAAGCTCCCCCAAACCTTCCTCGCGTCAACAGGTTCGAGTTTCAACAGCCGGTCATCCCTCAAGCTAAGACTCTTACCCGCCAAAGGCAACCCACCTCTGCTTAATCCCCTCTCCTCTGCAATCCCTCTCCCTCCCTCCACTCCCCTCACTCCCCTCACTCCCCTTACTCCCCTTACTCTCCCCACTCCCACATCTGGTGTGCTTTTCCTTTCTGCCAACCCCTCCGGCTCCAAAACACCAGCTATGGCACCGCCGTCCGTCCCACTCCTCCTGATACCACTGCCACTACCCCAACCACCCTCACCGTTGCCCTCGTTACTATCACCCTCACCACCACCACCACCATTAACAACAACACCGTTACCACCATCACTGGGGCTCTGGCCGTAACTCCCAGTGCGTAGCATTCTCAGGGCTCGCAGAGGGCCGCTCCAAAGCTGCTCCTGCTGTGCCGCCTGCTGCCCCAGCTCCTGGTCTAGCGCCCTTGTCCCCTCTACAAGCTGCCTCTCTATGCTCACTCGCCGCGCCCACTCCGCTATCCGCTGCGTCGGCGTGCCCAGTGTTGTAACCGTGGGTGTACCCGCAGTTGTAACCGTCGGAGTACCTGCAGATGTAACCGTGGGTGCACCCGCACTTGTAACCGTAGGTGTACCAATAGTTGTAACCAGAGGCTTACGTTCGGGGAAGGAGGTGGAGTGGGGAAGGGAGGATTCAGCCGAGCCTAGCCTCCTGTGAGCCGCCAACCCCCACACAGAATCTCCTAAATCCCCCTCGTTTATGTCACCCTCGTTACTGGCATCGTTCCCGCTTCTCCTCCTTCGTAAGGTTCGATCAGCAGACGCGGCACTCACAGCAACAGCCATCGGGGTATTGACAGTAGAAGCGTTATTGGCAACAGAAGGGGTATTGGCAGCAGGGGGGGTGACTGTAGTAGACGAGGCATTGGCAGCAGAAGAGGCATCACCAGTGCTAGCACGTGACGGCTTTTGAGGAGGCGCCTCAATGGCAGCAGAAGAGGCATCACGTGAGGACTTATGAGGGGCCACAATGGCAGCAGAAGAGGCATCACGTGAGGACTTATGAGGGGCCACAATGGCAGCAGAAGAGGCATCACCAGTGCTAGCACGTGACGCGCGACGGTCAGAGCCAGTGGCACCGCCGCTGCTGCTGATGCTGCTGCTGCTGCCGCCGATCCCTTGAACGGGCTCCAAAACTGGGGTGAATAGACCAGTATTGGCATCAGTGGCAGCAGCAGAAGCATCGGGTGGTGAGACGAGCCTCGGTGCATGTGTTGTGGCGAGTGTGGTATCAGAGCCTGCAAGGCTTGAGACAGCGACAGGCAGAGCACTGGGCACGCAGATGAGCTCTTGCTCTTGCTGCTCCTCTTGAGCCCCCTGTTGCTCATCCCCCTGCGGCTGCTCCCCGTGCTGCTGCCCCCCTTTCCACCCCACCTCGGATTCACACCCACCCTCCGCCCTCCCACTCCCGCCCTCAACGTTCCCACTCCCATCCCCCCCATGGCCTATCCCCTGCTCCGCCAAACCACGAGCCACGGATTCCCCCGGGCCAGCCACCGGACCTCCGGCTTCTACCAAGCCTGCAGAACCGACCAAGGCCGAACCTGTGCTGGAGGTTCGGTTCTTGCTGCTGCTAACATAGCTGTCGTGCGAAACAGCTCTCGGCACCCTCCCTTGCTCCGAACCTTCCAATGCCCCACATTCGCTCTGCCCTTCCCTCCCTCCCTCCCCCTCTCTCCCTCCTCTCTCTCGATCTCCTCTCTCTCCTCCTCCCCCCTCCGCTTCCCTCCTCTGCCCCTCATCCCCACTCCCCTCACCATCCCACGGCGCACACTCCCTCTCCCCCCCACTCGACCACCTCCCCACCTCCGCCTCCCCTTCCGCCCCCTCTTCCCCCGATCTACCCCCTCCAAGCACTCCATCCTCGGACCTATACCCCGCAGGGTAAAACACCCCTTTCCCATCCTTCAACCCATGGCTCCACGTCCCCTCATACCTACTCCCATCCGCCCATACAAACGTCCCCGGCCCATGCTCATACCCGCCCTCCCACTCCCCCTCAAACCTATCCCCACTCGCCCATGCAAACGCGCCAAATCCGCTCATGGTTCCCGCCTTCCACTCCCCGAAATACTCGTTTCCGTTCCGCCATTTGTACCGCCCCGGACCTTCCGCCGCGCCCCAGCTCCAGAATCCCTCGTACGAATCCCCGTTAGGGTAAATTTTTCTGCCCAGCCCGTGCTTAATTCCGGCTGCCCAGTTGCCCGTATAAAAAGACCCGTCCGCGCCCCAATACGTCCCCACTCCTTGCATCTGCCCTTTTTTCCATTCCCCCTGATATCTTGCCCCCGAGGGCCATAAAAACATTCCCTGCCCGTTTTTCTGCCCCTTGACCCACTCCCCCTCGTACACGCTCCCGTCGCCCCAGGTGTAACACCCGAGGCCGTGTGGTAACCCGCCGCCGACGAGTAACCATCCGCCGTAGTACGTGTCGCCGTTGGGGAATTCTTTCGCCACCTCGATCGCCTCGTCGCGCGCCTTGGGCCACACGGAGCCGAACGACAGGCGCGCGATCGGCGCGGGGGAGCTGCGCGGCGGCGCAAAGCCCGCGGAAGGCGCGGGGGGCGGCGGCGGCGCAAGGGGGCTGGCGGAGTGAGAGGCGGGGAGATGAGGCGCGGCGGGGGAAGCGATTGGAGTCATGGCGCCGGAACCGGGACCGGCGGAGGCGGAAGGCTGCGATGATTGTAAATTTGGAACAGACCGGCTTAAATGGACGGCCGCAGATGATGCAAGCTGTGCTGATCTGCCATCTGAGCCATTGGTTGCGCGTACCATGGCGCACGACTAACACTGAACGGTGGTAGAGCAGAGAAGGCAGAGGCCGAGTTTTAACGGGTGAATCCTTGGAATGAAAGCGACGGGAAACGGAAAGGGCATGATTCGCCGTTTAGGGCGTCAGTTGCTGTCAGTTGCTGCCAGAGCAGCATCACATGGCATCATCTGCTGTCACCTCACCATACCAGAAACTAGGTCAAGAAGGACAAGAGAAGAAACTTTTTCATTACAAATAAGGATTCACTTAGGTTTTCAACGTGCGGGGATAGCTCAGTTGGGAGAGCGTCAGACTGAAGATCTGAAGGTCGCGTGTTCGATCCACGCTCACCGCATCACCTTTTGGGCCAGCTCACTCAAAGCGAGTCCTATTTACACCTCTTCCGTTAGACACATTGTTGATCCTTTTGCTCGAAAGGATGATGGCGCCTGTGATAAGAGCATTACCTGTGAGAACTGTAATTGAATGTTTTGCCCTTTCCCTTAAAAAAACTGGTATTTCATATACGTCTTTCCAGGAACTACAGGTCACTCTAGTTACAGAGATACACTGTGTTACAGAGGCAAACCTAAGTTGATTCAGTCTGTACCGGATCCATGATTCCTTGACCATATACATGCTTGATTGGGTCGTTGACCTGGTCATCAGCGACAGCGGGTGAAGTTTGCAAAAACTGGTGCTTTCGCGGAAGCTCAGGCCAGCGCTACGCCACGCAAACTTCCCTCTAGCGCAGTTTCTGCCCGAGCAGCCTGCCCCTGATGACGCCTTCTTGCCGCACGAGGTTAGCTGGGGCAGGAAAAGCTCAAACCTGCACCACAAGCTGCCAGCTGGACTTCCTAAATGGAAGGCCCAGATCAGCATGACACCCTGACACGTGCGCTTGCCAAGAAAGCACGAGCATCGACACTTCCTGCATCCTGTGAGTTTTTCTCCCGAAAGTCTGGAACGCAGGAGGAGTTTGTGCTTGAAGAGTGTGTTGTTCCATGATCTAGGGCTGACTCAGCTATGTTTGTGGCTCTGAATTTTTCACGGCTCGCATACACGCCACCGACTGCCCTCCGATTTGTTCGCAAAATTTGCCCCGAACTCGCCGCTTGTCACGGAGCCCCAATCAACCAGAGCCAGCCATGGTCAGCTTGGCGGGGAAGAATGCACTCTTCACGGAGCCGCGTCGCATGCAATCGGTCTCGAATCGCACATTTGGAATTCGAGAATTGGGGGGAGGAACAGTGAATCGAATATCTCTGTGCAAGCTTCTTGCAGGTTCTGTGCAACTGCTGCTCCCTCCCACGCAACCTTCCCCTTTCCCAACTAATAAATATATTTGCTATCACTCTCAAAAATCTCGCAATACAAACAACCAATTCCCGATCCCGTGCTGCTCAAACATCAGCGTGCGAATTCCTTCCTTCAAGAAGCAAGGAACCATTTCTTATCCTTCGCATTGCTGTCGAGCATTACAGCCTACGGGTACCATTCGAGCATACTCGACCGAAGCCACCGCCACATTCAGCTCACACTTACTCGCATCGAAAGAAAAAATTCCAAACAATCGCTGCTGGACACCGAACCGACTCATAGCAACCGTCGATCCAGCGCAATGGCGTGTGCCGTCGGGCTGGCTCAGATTCCCTATCAAACAGCCACAGCCGTTGGATCGGGTCTCTCCATCTCCATTCCGACTAGGCGCGCTTTCACTCCGGCAAGCTTCGGCGGCCTTACAAACGTCAATCGCCACGTTTTATCGCAATCAGTGGCCTCTTCCAGAACTTTCAATTCCATAACGGGGTCCTGCTGTAATTCTGCGCTTACCTCGACGACCCCTGCTACTACTACTACCAGCGCCGCGACTGACTCACCATTCGAGCCATCACCAGCGTCGTCACGACGTCACATCATGCCTCCATCGAATACGACGTTGACCGCGCGCAGTCCAATCAGCGGCGGTGCTGCTGCAACGTGGCCTTCTTTCACTTCCCCCTCCCCAAGGCCTCCCCCGACCCCTTCTCCGCGCCCTCGCGTCCCCCTTTCCCCGCGCCCAGGCTCTGGCGGCGCGGCTTCCGCCGCTGTCTCCCCCAGCAGGCGGCGCTGGCGGAAGGGGCTGCTCGTCGCGAACGGCCTCGCCGCGCTTTACGGCTCCGCGTGTGCCGTGAATCGCGTAGCGGAAGCGGCGCCTGCTCATATCACTGACGTTGCGCCGCATTTAGCGCCGCATCTCGCGGCCGTCATGGATCACGTGCCCTCCGAATTCGCCTCGCCGATCCGATTCGCCGCAGCGGCCCTCCCGTTCGCCCCTGCTGCCGTCAGCACCTTCGCAGCCGCAGCAGGTCGTCTGGGCGACGATGCGCGACGTGCGACGACCGCATCTGCCCAAGGCGCAGCGTCACAGCCTGTGCTGGAATCAACTGGGACAGCCTGTGACGGAATTGCTTCGCCGCCGGTGGAAGAAAGGAACTCGTCATCCAATCATGAGTCGGAATCCTCGGCGGTGGTAATGGCAGGGCTGGAGCTAGCGGCATATAGCTTCTTGGGAGACCTGCTCTCGCAGTTCACCAACGCCGATACCGCCTCCACTCCAATGCTCCTGCTGCTCTCGGTACGTGACGTGATGCTCTTAACCTCAGGCTTTCAGCCTGCCCCGCCCTGAATTTTTGCACTATTCTCATGTCTATGCGAATGCTTAGTGCAAAAATATGAATCATAGTATGAATCTCCCTGCATTCCCGTCACTCCCATGCTTCCGCATCCCGTTGCTTGCCCACCCCGTTCAGTATAATCATTCTCGTCCTTACTGTTGTTCCCTCATCCCCCTCCCCCCCTGCAGCTGCTCATCCTCCCCGTCCTCCAACTCACCGACCGTCTCCGCCACGGACCGGCCAACGACGCGCCCGTGCCCAGCAACAGCAGCAGCGCCCGCCCTTCGCGCGCACCACTCGTGTCCGCCCTCATCGCAATGCTGGCGATCGTTGCAGCCAGCGGGGCCACCACAGGCGGCGCCGCCGCCGCAGCTCCTTCCGCTCTTCTCACCACCCTGGGGCAATCCCTGCCCCTGTCAACCCCATGGCCCGTGCTCGCGTGCCTGCTCTCCCTCTTCTCCTTACTCCGTTGCGAATCCCACTGCACGCGCTTCAACCCTCTCTCCCTCACCGCTGTGCAGACCTCTTCCCTCGCCTCCCTCTCCCTCCTCTCCTCCCTCCTCTTCCACCTCCTCTCCTCCTCGGCCTTCCCACACGGCATCCTACCGGAAACCCTCACGAGTGCCACACACGTGGCAGGGACCAGCGGAGCAGCGCTGCTGCCACTCATATACAGCGGTCTCATGTGCTCGGGGCTTGGCACGTGGATGGAAATGAATTGTCTGCAAGACCTACCAGCACCGGCTCTCATGTTAATATTCACCTCTATTCCCGTCTGGGGGGGGTTGCTGGCAGCGCTGGCGCAGGGGGAGGTGCCAGAGGCAGGGCTGGGCGTGGCTGGGCTAGTGATAGCTGCTGTGAATGCCGGCGCGTGGGCACTCATGTCACGCCATTGCAGTGCCGTTGCTTCCGAGACCAGCAGTAGCAGCAGCAGCGGCAGCAGCGGCACAGGCAGCAATGTTGATGATGGGAGCTGCACCGTGCAAGAGACAAGCCCAGCTGCAGAGAGCGCGGGAGAGAAAAACGCAGGGAAAACAGCCAAGAGTGCTCCCCCAGTCCCAGTGGAGCAGTTGAGCAACTCCCTGGTGGCATCTCAGCTCAAGGTACCATTCTACTCCACCAAGGCAAAAAGCCTGCTGCTCAAGCTGAAGCTTAAAGCCAAGGTGGCTGGAGCTAAGGTGCTGGGTGGGAAGCTGGGCGTGAAAGCAGCTGCTGCTGGTGCGTACAGTGCCTCCCATGTGCTGACATCGGCCGTGGGGAGTGGGAGCTTTGGTGCGGGCACTGCTGATGCTGCTGCAGCTGCTGCTGCAGGCACGGTGGATGCTCTGTCGTCGCTTAGCAGTGGTATGGGGATGCAAACTTTTGTCAGCAACAGCGGCAGCAGTATTGGCAGCAGCATGTCACTCGCGCACCATGCTCCTAAGGTCATGCTCAGCGTCCTTCCGGTCACACCTCCAGCTGGGCTATTCTCCTCCGTGCATCTCCATGATCTAATTCACGTCCTTCCCTCCTCCATTTCCCACCTTGTACAGTGATAAGGGATGGGGAGGAGACGTGACGGGAAGGAATAAGTACGAGAGACGAGATGAATAGAGAAAGTAGTAATTGTTTTTTCTGTGGGAGTGGTTGGTGCTGAATGGCCTGTTCCCCATTCAGAACCAACCATTCCCACCGGTTTTTGTTTCGGGGGGAATGGGTGCTTGGTCCAACAAGCGCTGAAATTTTTGGCCAGGAAAGCAGCCTGTTCTCTCCTGACCAGTAATTTCCACGCCTGTTATGCTCCTGTTATATTTGAAAAGAATGTACAGACTTCATGACTAAATTTCTGTCACTGAGCTTGGCTTGCAGGATGCAAGATTTTGGAATGCAATGTTATATGAATAATGTTTTAGCTGAACTAATTATTGCCTTGAAGTTTCCCAACCTCGGTGCTTCTGATGCAGAAGTTTTCACCCATCCCCTGCTGTGGCATTGCAATGCGAATGCACAGAAGTATGTTATCGGCCGCTACCCGAAGTGTGCATCAGGATACGCCTACTATTCTTTGCGATTGGCCTTTTCGCCTCTGTGAAAGTAGCTGCGGAAGGAGTTTAAAGCTTCGGATCCGCACTACCCGGCGAGTCTCCGTCATTGCACGCTCGATCAGAACTTGAATTTCGAATGCCACGCACCGCAAGTAGTCTATATTGTTTTATTGATCCGTCTCAAAACACGCTCGATCCACCTTAGTT